ATATGTAACCACATACACAGTTTTTCTTCTCTTTTTCTGTTAATTTATAAAATATAAAAAAAGGAGTGCAAAGTGTGAATATTATCCGAATTATTATCTAAGATATATTTATAATTGTGAATAATTAATGCGTTCATTAAAAAAATCTGATCTAATATCTTTTGCAATGTACATGAGATATCTCTGTACTATTCATTACAATATATTTATAATTAGTAATGTTTATAATTAGTAATGTTAATAGATAATATACGGAAATGTAATTACGTATAAAGATTCTCTACATGAAACTACCTGAGCGATTTATTTGTGAAAGTATTTTACTGCATTCATATTATATTCTACCATATTCATGACTTCCTGTACTACAAATGGCAATTCGCATAATACCACCATCAATTTCGTATATCTCATTCTGTACATTCTAAGAAATTATAGCATGCTAGCACTCTAGTATGTAATATGGAAGTCCATTGCTGACATATACATATCCGATCGTCGCAATTACGATGGTGTAATGGGGGCCTGTACTTTCCCGAAAGATTTGTAAATGATATCCCAGGTAAGGAGAATTAATATTATTAACGATACTGAATCGCTAATTATTCTGTTTTAATATTCTAACAGTATATTATGGTTTACACACACAATATATATTGTATTATTTTCTAATAGATTATTTATACAATATATCAAAATATAATATATATGTAATAAATTCTTGTGTGTGTGTAAAATATTTTACCTAAAAATCTAACATTTTTTAATTTTAATTTTCGATTGTAGCATTAATTGTTTGTATTAAAGTATGGCGTATCAAATCTTGAGGATAACGTTTTTTCTATAACTCAGGTTATACAAAAAGTTCTTAAATAAATAGAAAGGGAAATCTGTGTGTGCGAGCGACTTTTAGCTTCTGCCAGTTGGAAAAAAAAATTTCAGCGGGAGTAATTAAGCGATTCAAGTGGGCAGAGAACTGGACTCTGCGAGCATGCATGGAGTTCTAATTACATGTATTAGCAACCGGCTACGATCGTATAAATGAACATCGAGCAGTTTTATCGGCATTGCGCGATGGCAGACCTGGTTTCATAGTTTCCCCTTTGCCGTCCCCCTTTTCCTTTACTCACTCACTCTTTCTCTCTTTCTCTCTCTGTGCGTGTGTGTGTGTGTGTGTGTGTGTGTATGTATGTATACCTCGGGGCCGAATATGAAGCGCGATATGGCGCGACGTGAAACGCTTAGAAAGTTTAAGCTAAGCACTTTTCCTGCCGTGAACTGAAAGGCTGAGAACGTTATGCTCGTCCAGGAATGCAAAATGCTTACGAGACTCGCTTCATCATTGTAAACAGGCATCGATATTACCGGACTCGGTATTTCGAATATTTATTTTCGCGAGTGTCGATGAAGGAGTATATCCATCCGGATGTAAATACACTAACAAACTTATGGATTGCAAGCAACAGGGACCCTTCGAGTTAGACAAAACTAAGTCGGATCGTTAAAAACTATATTTGTTTGGAATAGATAAAGCTGATCAGGCTCTTTGTGAAGAAAGAAACTCATTTTTTGAATTAAATCTCTTTATAATAATTTAAGATGGATGAAGTTGAAATACTATTCTTTGTGAAGAAACAAGAAATTTTGAATTGAATCTCTTTGATATTTTTTCCTTCTTCTCTTTGTGGGAACGCTTCCCAGTGAAAATTTGAATAAAAAGCGATGTCGTCGGTGAAAATTTGAATGAAAAGCGACGTTGTACCTTTGGAATTAGTTTTCCTAGCGTAAAGGTTCAATTACGGAAATGATGCTGAATGTAGAACGTTATGCAGACTAATGTGGTGTAATAAATCACTTAATTGAAATCACAATACCACTGTGGTTAATTTATGGTTCGAGAGAACTAAGTGCGTTCTCTCTAATAGCCGATTTTCTTAAGTTACATTGCTTTACCGACGAAATTTGTTTGACACTGGCAATTATTTCTGTCGACCTGATTTCGAAGTTTGTTGTAGGTGTAAGGTAACTATCAATTTCACTTCGATAATTTCCGTGCAAAGTGAAGCTTTATATCAACATTAACGTTTCACTTACAATTTTATTACTTTTTTTCACTATTAGATAAATGCGCGAGTTAATCGTGCATAATCGTGATATCCATGCATCGACGCGCAGCACCTGTAGCAAATATAAAACTGCCCACATCGCGTCGCCGTAATTAGGGCGTAGCGAAAGTGGCATCTGAAGAAGAAAAATTAAAACACGCTGCTTTTCACTTACGTATTATTTATCGTAATCTTTACTATAAAAAGATTTTGTCATAAAAATAATACAAAGTATCATAAGAATCATATTGTTAGTTTGTTTAATTAGAACAATTACTCCAGGAGAAATAATTTTCTTGATTTTTGTAAGCTCACATTATCATTTAATTTTGAACGAAAATTTATAAATTAAATGCAAAGTGACAGATAAATATAACACTTAGCAATCAATACATCCTATACTTACATGCAATATAAAAAACATTTTTATCGAACGTAAGGTTTCCCTAAAAATATAATTTAATTGTTTTAATGGTGAATTGAAATAACTTCAATGAAAAGCATTGTTGGAAAGTCTTTGATTTATGTATCGAGTATCTATAAGTATCGTCACTCACTTTCACGATTTCTCGCGGCAAACAGAAAAACATCTCTCATCATAGATTTAGAAACTCATCGTTATTGGCCACCGTCATTTTCGTTGCTTGTCGTTCGAGAGAGTGTTCGAGAGAGACTATAGACCGTCAGCAACAACAATAAAGACATCAACGAGAACGACGATGATGACAGCGCGTCGCATGTTCGTAAACAGTGAAGATGATCAGGGAGAGCAGTTTAATTGCAACTATGATAAAACTCGATGATAAAACTCGTAATTGCGACGCAAAGTGAAAATTAAATCACCGATTTAGTAGAGCACGGAGCGAGTCAATGCGTTCGCAAAAAAAAAAAGATTGCAACCCTGGCGAGTTGCATCTTGGTCCTTTCATTTTAATTAAGCTGTAATTATTAGGCCTCGCGCGAGATGTCCAGCGTCGATTTTCGAATTCATTATATCTAGCGATAAGCCACGGTTTCTCTTCGCATCGGCCGACCTTACATTCCTACGAATGACATGACGCAGACGCATTGTTCACGACACGGATAATCGATCGGAGATCCCGGAAACGGTCTCGTTCGCGATGACACGGTCCGCTAGTAGCGATAATCGAAGGCTCCTAAGCGGAAACGACGAGGCCTCGCCCTGGTCGAAGAATCGAGACAAAGGAATCATTCGTGCAAATGCATGCAGCTCTGACATTATGTTCGTGAGTTTCCTTGGTTCTCGGAAATCGCGCAAGATACATTTCGCAAACGATACTGTATATCCAACGATGGGTTTCTAAATGTAGCGAGATGAAGTTTCGTCAAACTCGAGACTATTCAGAACCAATTTCGAAGATAAACCCCAAATGACAGATGTCCATTAACGCGATGATCTAAAGACAAACTTTAAAGCAAACTCCTACATTTGGCGGGATTTTAATTTCTTTTGAATGATTATTGAAACTTATTTTAATGTTTAACAATAAGTACTATATCTAACAATAGAGATTTCTCATTGTAGCGAGACGAAGTAGTACCGTTGATTTCAGGACTGTTAAAAACCAATTTGGAAGATAAATTATAAATGACATAACGATCAGCGTGATAACTCTAAAATAAACTGGCTAAAATAAATCTCCATTTTTAATTAAATTTTAATACTATTTTTTCTGGATAGTCGATCAAATATGTCAATCATCTAAATTATTTTTGAAATGTCAACAGAAGAAAAATCTTTCTACATAATTGATATATAAGCGATAAAATTAGAATATTCGTAATTCGTTTAATAGCTATTTTCTCTCTTGGCATCATATCCAAACAAATTATCTAGATTCTAAACTTAGTTAGCACGAATAAAGTTTAAATATAATTTAAATGCATTAAAATAATGAATACATTGCTTTTAGAAATTTACTAACATTCTTATTATTAAATTAATAGAAAAATAATATTACAATATAATGAT